AACACCACATGAACACCTGATAGATTTGGTTGTAACGCCAACCTGTATGCTACTGTGCCAAACCTCTAGAGCACCTCAAGGGGCCCGATATACCCCATTGATAGCTTCCCTCCCTTTCAGAACCTTACCACTCCCTTATTAGGCATCACCTTTAGGAGGATGTTATCTCTAACCTTGAACTCTAGAGGTCACCACTACCTGTCGATGTAGCTTTTCTGCTGGCTTTGAGCCATAAGAACATGCTTCCATATCAAGTCCACCTTCTCTGAGGTGTCTTTGATCAAATTCAAACCCGTAGAGGGTCTCTCTTCAACCTCCATCGAACAAATCGTAGAATGACATAGCCTTCTATAAAGTGTCTCATAGGGTGCCATCTATATGTTCACCTAATAACTATTGTAGTTGGCAAACTCCACTGAGGGTAAATGCTCTTCCCAACTACTTTTGGGATCTAGGAATGAAAAGTTGTACTCATTATCAACTGCATCCCTATAGCCCACCAAAAGCTCTTATAAAAACATGTCATAAACCTAGGATCCCAAACTGATACTATAGATATGGGTGCTCCATGTAACTGGACTATCTCTCATAGGTACAACCAACAAAATTCCTCAAATGTGAAGGTCATCCGTAAAACCAAAAAGTGAGCCAACTTCATCAACTGGTCCACTATCACCAACACCGCATCATGCCCATACAAAGTTGTAGGCAAGTAGGCCACAAAATCTATAATGACATGTTCCCACTTCCACTCAACCACCTCCAAAGGCTGGAACAACTTCTTTGATCTTTGGTGCTCTACCTTGACCTGCTGACATGTGAGACACCTGCTAACGAAGTCTACAACGTGTCTCTTTGTCCCGTTCTAGTAGTATTGATGGTGAAGATCATGACACATCTTTGTGCCACCTAAATGCACAACAAAACGGGAGCAATGAAACTCCCTGAGGATCTCCTCTCTCAGATCTATAGACTGGAGAACCACATCATTGTGAATGTCCCATAGTTTGGAGATGATAATAGAAAGTGAAGTCATAGTCCTCCAAAAACTCCATCCATCTAAGCTACCTCATATTAAGATCCCGTTGCAAGAAGATGTACTTCAACCTCTTGTGGTCTGAAAACATCTCAACCAATTTCCTAAAAAGATAGTGGTGCCAAGCCTTAAAGGCAATGATAACGACCAGTAACTCCATGTCATGCCTGGGGTAGTTTTGCTCGTAGCTCTTCAACTACCATGATCCATAAGCTACCACCCTCGTAGACTGTATCAACACACACCCAAGTCAATTCTTAGAGCAATCATAGTATACTATGCACCTCTGTCTCCTCTCTAGAACTATCAAAATAGTGGCTAAAATGAGCATCCTCTATAACTCCTTGAATGCCCTCTATCACGAGTCATCCCACTTAAATTTGACTTCCTTCCTGGTCAATCTAGTCATAGTTGTAGCTAGTTAGAAGAAGTCATCAATGAACCTCTTGTAATATCCCACCAATTTCAAGAAACTGCGTATCTCAAAGATTGACTTAGACCTCTCCCAACTCGTAACTGCCTTGACTTTCTGCAGATCCACCGACACACCCGAAGCAGACACAACATGGCCTAAGAATTTTACCTGTGTCAACCAAATTCACACTTGCTGAACTTGGAGTACAACTAGTGGTCTCTCAAGGTCAAGAGAACTATCCATAAGTGACATTCATGTTCATCCTCAAGACTTGGAGTAGATCAAGATGTCATCAACGAAGAACACCATGTGCATCAGATCCATGAATGCCACTTGAGCAGTCGTCAAATTGAAAGGGCATAAAAGTAAACTCAAAGTGCCCATATCATATCCACAAAGTTGTCTTAGGGACCCGATTCAACTACGCAGGTGATCAAAAAGATTATCAATCCTCGGTAGTGGGTACTTATTCTTGAAAGTGACTTGATTCAACTACCGATAATTGATATATAGTCTAAGAGTCTTGTCCTTTTTCTTGGAAAATAATACTCAAGTGCCCCAAGGTGAGGTATTCAATCTAATGAAACCTTTGTCTAACAATTCTTGTAACTGGACCTTAAGTTGTAGTAACTATGTAGGTGTTATTCTATGTAGCATCATATAACTAAGGGATGCACCAGGTTGTAACTTGATGGTGCAGTCAACATCATAATGTGGAGGTAATCTCGATAACTTGTCAAAAAAAAATTTTGCATACTCACAAACTACCCGAGGTAGACCCAACTCTTGTCTCGCCTCACCCTCAAGTGTAAGGCTCACAAGTTAACCCATCAACTGCCTATGCCAATGAGACTTATACACAACTTGGGGAAAATCATTGTGCTTGTCCTCTTAAAACATAAAACAAACACCCTTTAGTGTATAAGCAGTCACCCTCTTCGGATCATAATCGATGACGACTTGGTGTGCCACTAACCAATCCATCCTATACATGATATCAAACTCTAACATGTCCATGACCCTAAGGTCTATAGTGAGTAGAATCCTTGAGATCTATAGCTCATAACCCTGACATATCTGGTCAATGCCAACTCTAGTTCTTAGGGGAGAACTCACATGCAATGGCTCTTCAAAGGTTTCAACCTCTAAGCTTAACCCTTTACACATGATGCAACTATGAATGAATGTGATGCACAAACATCAAATAACATCCTTGCCCATAAGCGAGAGAGTAGAAATGTACCCTGAATCACCGATTGATCCACTAGCTCAGTCTAAGGTGTGATGGCATAGACTCGCCCTTGGGCCCCCCAAGTCTCGGCTTGTAAGCCCTGTCCTCTGCCTTTGCCCAAACCGTGGCCCATCTAGCCTAACCGCGGAGTCCCCATTCCTGATGTAGTAAGGGCCTATGTAGCTCCCTGGAACTAGAACTAACTTCCCTGGCCCATGGGGGGATAGGGAGGAATGAAATAGGCATGTGGATGCACCACTAATGATTGGGACTAAGATGCCCCTATAACTTTGGAATCCCTAACTTGATCCAAAATGTGTACACCCAAGTGCAGGCGGTCGAGTTGTAGTAATAATCCAATTAAGTCTGGAATCGAATCCACAGGGAACTAATGTTGGTGTTTTGAAGTAAGTAGTGACAGAGCCCAAAGTGACTGAAACATTTGAGATTTAAAGTTACGGATTTTAGGGGATTTTTTGGACAAAATATAAGATTCTTTCAATGGGATTTTGTAGACAAAGTATAATATGCTTTCAAATGTGAAAGTCACCTTTTAGCTTGAGGATCTGAACATGTAGTTAGTCATTCGGTTGTTATACTTGTGCTTGGAAACTCAATTAACTCCTATGTCAACATAAAGTTAATCGAAGGATAAAAATGGATTGTGAGAATGAAGAGCATGGTTCTGATGTCTTTGTAGAGATTTACAATAATTGTCTGTGCCGAGACTCAACCCATCTACAAAAAAGCAAGTAGTTCTACAAGCCATCCAACCACTGTGTTAATATTCCATTCTTAGTTGAAGCATAATAATGGTGAAAATTGAAATGTAGTCATGAAGATCTAGCTGGGGTACTTACAAAGAACCAATGAGTCTTCCTATGCCAAGAGTCATCTATGTCATAGAAGGACTCATGGTTGTACAAAGTACCTTAAATTTGCTAGATGCATTCAATCTATATAATAAAATAGAAGGGAGTTTGAATTTTATACTACACATATTTTTTCCCCCTAAAACCATCTTATCACACCCATCACCTCCTTCTTAACTTTACTCTGTACACAGGAATCTGACACCCTACACCCATGCCCTTTATCTCTATCTCTTAGAGCACACACACCCATACCCTTTTCCTTTCTCTCTCTCCCTCCATCCCATCCTCCTTCACCCGTCTTTTAATTTTTTTTCTTCTTTCCTCCACTCCTTTCTCTTTTTCACCGACGCCTCTCTCTTTCACACGCCAGTCTGTCGACATCTTCAGCACCACCGCCACTGCTTCAACGCCAGGTATTCCCCCCATCCCTCTTCCTAGCAGACCCCTACCCTTCTTCCCCCTGTACGCAAACACCCTCCCCCCCATCCCTCTTCTACGCAAACACCCACCCCCCAATGTAGAACACACTACCTCATCCCTCTCCTGTGCAGTCTCTCTTCTGTGCAAGGTATTTTGTATTGTATAGACGGCGAGCTTGATTGTATTGCGCAGGTTCTTTGGTGCTTGGTGATTTATTAAAAGACTAAGAATTATTGTTCAGGGCAAAATTTTTTGTTCAAATGTACTATCAAAAAATTGTTATGTCTTTTTTTGTTCTTATTTTGTTATGGCTAAATTGATATTGTTTGGTTATGCTATGAGTTGTAACAAGATGAACCCTCTTCATCTACTATTGAAATTGATGATCCACCCAAAGAGAGCCTTGATTGCAGTCTAAATACCCAATAGTTTCAAATTTTCACGCTTTAGTGATTATTTATTCATGGGCAAGAATGGTGGCCATACTTTGTTGTTTCTTTGGTAAATTTTCTGATTTGTTATGGGTTGTTTATCTTCAAATGCTATGTGTCACTGATTTTATTTTCATGCTATTAGATGTGCTGAGGTACTGTATTCTGTTTGATCAGAGCTATTTGAATGATCTCACCATCCACAGCCATCACATGTTTGATGAAATTTCTAAAAGAGCAACGGACAAACTACATTCGCTGCCACCACCATAGATAACTCCCCTTCCACCCCCATCTTTGACTATTTCCCTTCACCTCTCTGTACTCACACTTGATAGGCAGTGAAAAGGTTCCTAATAAAAGCTTAAAGAATTCACTCATGAATGTCTAAGTTATTGATCCATATTCTATACCAGCAATTTGCTTGAGAGATGATAGGAATGCCATCTAGACAAAAATAGGTAATAACACTCATAGATTAAAATAGAGAGCTGAGGAAATATACCTTAAACAAAATTATATCACCATGTGTTTTTTATTACTACACACAAACCTCTTTGGTTTTTTCTTGAATGTTAATGACTTTCTTGTCCTAATTGCTTTGGTGGGATCTCATGAATTCATCTATTTTTGGCAGAAGTTGGTCTCTGATCATGGTGGGGCTAACAACAGCAAGCAAAAACCCTCTCATGTTTTTGTGAATGGAACCATGAACAGGTGCAATGTTGCATTCCCCTAAGATGTCAAGCATGCATTGTGGATAGCAAGGTACAACTCCTTTTGCTTCATTCATGAGGATATATCTGTTGAGCTCTGGATCCATGGAAACAATGGTAGGGCAACCTAATAGGTGGGATTTGAAGAATAGTAATTTCATTAGAAGATTACACCAAATTAGATTATAAACTACAAGAATGTTTAGTCATAGATCATTAAGTTATAAATCCAATGTTACTAGAAAACCAAGCACAAATTTTTTTAAGCCAAAACTACCCAAAGCCCCACTTAAAATCACATATCAGTAGAGCATGGAAAAGGATAGAACTTCTATTAGATGATACACCATAACCAATTACATACCATTACAAACAAAAGCCTTCTAGACAAGAAGAGAGAGAAGAGACCATGTAACATGAATCTACCCAAAAAAAAACTCAAAATAAGTCTAACCTTGCTCTCTAGTTTTTCATGAAGCTTAGACCTTGCTTTAGAAAATCAGTAGTCTCCCCAAAAACAGGCCAACCCATGGTATCAGGAGTCAAACCTTTCTTCCTATACCTCATTCCAAACCCATGTTATTTGGTTTGGATTGTGTAGTGATTGATGATGTCTTTGAGTTAGTTTGTGGTTGATTTTTTTGGCACTTTTTGGCATTTTAAGCAATTTAGGAATTAGTTTTGATTATGTATTTATTTATTTTTTTCAGTTGTAAGAAATCTGTGATATTTGGGTAAAATATTATGCAATGCTACGATTCTTTGTCGTTTGAAGCAATGGATCTCTTTTAGTAGCTATCAGGTATATATTTGAGCTTCTTTAGAATTAGGGTTTGATGGGTAATTAGATATAGGTATTACTGGGTTATTCTGGATACAAGTCCACCTTTTTTTGATAAAAGTTACAAGTGAATCTACAAATACATTTTCTATTGAAGAGTTGTAATGTTTACAATGTTTTGTTTGGGATTTCCTTTGTATTGTTTGTGATGAATTTTTGGTATACTTTTTTTGTTGTTGTTTGGTTTGGTTTAGTTGTAATGCCCCAAAATCCCCCTAGAAGGCATTACTATCTACTAACCATCCAACCCTGAGAGCAACTAAAAATAACCATTAGAACAACCAGTCATTCACCCATCTAATAAAGAATAAATGCTAAAGCCAATAAAACATTGAAACATCTCCAACTTACAATTCAAACCAAATAGTATCTAGTAGCGAAATAATCAAAACTAGCTGAAACATTGGTTAATAGAAATCTCTCAAAATAAAATAATCTAAACTAAGATGAAGCATCTCTAAGCCTCCACTTCAAAATCCTCATACCGACCTTCTCCATTCTCGAGGTTGACTTGCTCATCTAATTATGGATTCTCCTCAACACTAAAAATGTTTTGGTAGGGTGAACAATAAAGCCTAGTAGGAAAACCTTCTCAAACCCACACAAGGTTTAGAAATCTTGAAAGCAGGTAAGTCACAGTTTGTAAAATAATATATATAATTTTGAAGTAAAACGATGACATTTAATGAGATCTCAAGATTACGGTATAAAACAGTAGAGTTCATAAATAGCGTAGAATCATTCACAAAAATCATAATTCATAACATAATATTTCATGTATGTAGGTAGACTACTGTGAATCTACACACCGAACCTCTCTCATTGACCCACAACACAAACCATCTCAAATCAATTCCCTAAGGGCCACAACACTTATAACACTTTAGGAAGGGCGTGTACTGACATATCCTTTCCTTGGAATAGTATATTAGCCCCCAGCCTCGAACTTTCATGGACAAATGGTGGTTAGCTCTCACAAGAAACTAAACCCCTTATGAGTATTAGGCAACCACCAAACCCCTCAAGGTAGGAAAACTTCTAACACTCTATGATATGCATTCGAGTGTAACACACGTTCATCGTACCCATCAATACAAGAGATAAAACAACACTTTTTCATAAAATTCAACTACAATCAAGAATCATTGATCGATAACTCTTTCAAAAGAATAATTCAACAAAACATGCAAGAGATCCCACAGAAAATATATTTGAATTGATAGTATTCAAGAACTATGGTTTTGTAATCAAGAAAGAATAGATCTTGGAAGTAAATTATTATTTTGTTCAAGAAACAAATCATAGATTCAAAACAACGTAAAAAAACATTGTAAATCAATTATTTATATCATAATAATGCTGAAAAAGACATATTATATAACCTTAATCATCAATGAATGAATCTGAGGAAGAAACCCTACCTTTAATACAATATTCGAACATAATCCTAGTTTGTTTAAATCAATCTTGAAGCGAGAATCCTTCCTATGTCCCTTTTCTTTCTTTCTCTCAAGCTTTCTAGGGTTTTCTTGGATGAAAAATTGCTAAGCATAGGCCTAAGGGTCATTCCTTAGGTATTTATAATACCAAAAGTGGAGAAAACTCTTAACATAGATCATCCAACTTCTGCCAGGTGCGTCCGGACGCATGTTTCTCCCATCCGGACGAGTCTGACTGCATACCCCTAACTTCCAGCTCCATTTTGACCTAGTTAGAAGTCGATTCATGAAATTGTTATGAAATACACTTTTGTAACCCTTGAATTCTAGTTTCTACTATCCAAAAAGAAAATCAATCAGAGTTATGATTAAAACGTTTTGACCAAAATAATAAGTTAGTGTCAAATTCCTTCATACGCAAATCCTTTCGAAAATAGGTTTTAACTTCATAATACTTCTTAACTTCTAATACGCCCCATATTACCTATCCCAAGGTTTTTTGACCTTCTGAATTCAATGAAAACCTTATTTTGACCTAAAAATATTTATAAAATTACTTAACCACCCTTCTCAAGTTCAAAAATCTCCAAAACTCAATTTACTCCGAAAGCTAATACGCTTGAAACTCAAACTTCATAATCAATTTTTCAATAATAATTCTAATTTTTCTACCAACATTTTATTCACTTTAGGATAAATATTAATATGATATTCCCCTACTTTAATATTTGATACAGGGTCTTACATTAGTCCTTGCTTGGAGGATTTGCTAAGAATAATCTTTATTTGGACACGTGATATAGGGAGAGTTTAGGCTTTCATTTTAGTAGGTGTCCGAGTTTAGTGCTTGATTATTTCACGTTCAAATTTAATATTCAATTTTTTTTATTTGCATCGTGCCTTCAGACACAGGGTATCCCTATCGTTCAAAAAGCAAGTAAAAGATAAAGCATTAAGCATAAAAAAAATACGCAAATATAAATTTTGAATGATTTATACATGTTCATCACCTCTTACTAAAGAGTGAATGAGAAACTATTCACTCTTCAAGGCATTGGTAAAGCTAGAAAAGTGAGTGATTCTCATCCCTCCAAGTAGAGGAGTTTACTCGATACAATACACTATACAAGGAGCCTATCTTCGACGAAGAATGATGTAATCACTTTCAACCCTTCACGGCTTTGGTAAAGCTTGGAAAAGGTGAAGAGTTTCACTAATCTAAGGGAAGAAGGAAGCTCAAACAATGGAAGCTAATGAAACAAATAATGAAAGTAGAAGAAAGATAGCCACTTTTGAAGGGTTTCCTCCTCAACCAAAAGATGATATATCTTCCTCTAAAATGTCTAAGTCTAAGTCACTATTCTAATCTAAGTCTATCTATCTCCCTGAAGCTCTCTAAAGAGGAGGTATTTATAGGCAAAGGGGGAGGGGTAAAGAAGACTAAAGGAGTATGGAATGCCCCAAGAGCCGGATGGACAATCAACCACTCTGCACCCTATCTAGGGAATACGTTTGAACGTGTGATGGCATTTGAACGTTGACCCCTTATCTTCTTCGATGGGCATTCAAATGCAGAATGGAGGTTGAACGTGGAACTCAAGTGCCTTTTGTCATCCACAGTAGATGGCAAGCCATGTCTCATCACCCTGGCAATCTGGTCCACAAATAATTCAAGATGGGCGTTCGAACGTGACTTGGCGTTCGAACGTTGTACTCAAGTAGCTCTTGTTCTTCTATGATGATAACTGCAAAATGCCATATGCCATTGTCCTAGCACTCTTCTAGGGGTCCTCAATTATTTCAGGATGGGCATTCATACTTAATTGGCGTTCGAACGTTGATGCCTTTCCTCAAACTTTTCTAATTTTCTTTCGGAACACGTGGGTGTTGCATAAAGTTTGGTATCCATTGTCTTTAGGCTTTTGTGTAACTTTTTCCTGAAATTTCATTATTAAAACTCCATCAAAGCATAATTAGTCTTGAAAAAACATATAAAGATGCTAATTTTGACTATCCATCACACCTCCCAACCAAAATATTGCGAGTCCCCAGTAATACAACAACAATTAAATGCAAAATCATTTACAATGCCATTTTCTTAGGTCATCCGGTTGCATTTAGCATATGCAACAAACCATTAAACCCTTAGGTTTTTCCTAGTGGACGAGTGTTGTCTTGTGAGGGTTTTCAATCGAATAGATGTGTATGTGAGATTGCTTGTCAGAGTGATTTTGCACCATGGTCGTTGAGACACCCAACCCTCAAATCTGGCTTATCTCCCAAACACTTCTCTTTCATAGATACATACTCTATGCAAAAATAAAACATTTGTTACATTGGTATTTGAAATTCCCTATGTAATAATAATGATCATTCTAGCGGCAATAATTGTTATATAACAAACACTCCTCTTTACAACCTTCAATGGATAGTTTTGATTTCACAAACCTCTCTTAGAATGCTCTCAACAAAAATTCTCTTCGATTATAGTGACTTTTCTCTCAAAAGGCATGTGATTAGAAGAAGGCTAATTAAAAATTCACATGCACAATTAGTACGGGAGGGAAATCTATTGAAACATACTAATTTTGGCGTAATCTCATGGAAGAATATTGATATAAATAAAGTAATACTATTTAACATACCCCAAACTTTTGATTGATGACCTACACATGCATCAGACTTGAGATCAATTAGGGCTTTATAGGTTGTAATGTGGCCAAGGGTCAGTGGCTAACAAAATGAAGCTATCCTTTTTTTATCTAATGTTGCACACCTCTTTCTAGCTTTTCGAAACTTCACCTACATGATATTTCTTTCTTTCATTCTTTTTCTCATTTTTCACTT